TTTTGGGGGGCGAAGATTGGCGGCGTGCAAGCCTTGAATTTGCCCCGGAAGACATCAACCTCAAGTCCATCTTCAAAGAAGCTGAGCATGAGTTAGGAGAAATAGGCGGGGATGATGAACCTACCAAAGACAACAGAGAGACCACAGGTAGCCAGGGTGAAGACACAATTGGAGGTGACTATGTGGATGGAGACAAGGAGGAAGAAGCTGAGGATGAGGATGAAGACTGGATGGATGAGGGGATGGACAGAGGGGACGCTGATACAGAAGATGTGATTGAGGGAGGAACAGTGGAGGTAGAGTCAATTGAGGGGGAAGAGAAGCAGGGGGAAATAGATGAGAACCCGCGCAAACGGCAGCGTGTATCAGCTGGGCACAGGAACACGATCCTGTGTGTCATTTTGAGTGCCTCTGATCACATTGGTGCGCTAAATATAAACGTACCATCTAACCTGTGTGGCCAGAAAACAATCACAATTATCAGCATTGTACTGCAAAGCTGCAATGAGCGATGCAATTACCTCCAAGGGATGGTTGGTGTGTTCCTGCACTCAGTGAATGCTCCGCAACGTGTGATCAATGTCCTTGCCCATGGAGGTTTTACCATCAGCTCAACATCCATCAACGCATCGGTACGGAACCTATCGAAGCAAATAGAAAAGCAGATACAAACCAGTGGACAAACCTTGACATGAGCATTTGCGTGCGATAACTTCGACATGGATTTCAAAACGCCCGAGCCAACTGCAACACATCAGTCGAAATTCGTGAGCGCGACATCAGCAACGTCGCTTCCAGTTGTTGGCCTTTCGGAACAGGGCAGCCCAGAGGTGCTGCGCTGCTCAAATACGCTTTGGCAGCACGATCCTCATAACACAGCACCTTCAGAGACACCTATCAATGTGGATGAGTACGATTTTCTCAAGTTCTCAATCAGGAACACGTACGATCATGTCCCAAATGGGACATGGTGCAGCAGCCGGCGCTTGGCGTTTGCATGGCATGTGCGCAATATCCTAGTCAGCCACTGCCGTCACTTCTTGTCATATGCGGACAACCTTGGAGAACCAGAGCCGATTCTCAAGGCTCCTATTTCAAAAACTGAACAGATCCCATTTCAATCTATGAAAATCAAACAGTCAACTGCAGACGGGAATATGGAGGTTATGGGGCACTTACTGCGCCAGAGTGGTCTGGGGGAAATGCCCCCAGCTGGGACTGACCAGCGCTCAAATGCTCATAACCCAAACCTACAGGACATGTCCGAATATGTCATTCTTGTTCATGGCGACTTACTCACAAAAGAACGGCTCGATTCTGTACGAGATTCGCGCCAGATCGAGAAAACACCGATGAACAGGTTCCAGTACATCATCTTCATACCTGGAATGTTCCACTTCCGCATGGCATGCACTGATGCGGTGTGGAGAATCCATCTTCTTCCTCCAGAGAGCCGAGATGACCCTAATAGCATGTTTCAGCACCTCGGAATCATGCGGCCAAAAGAAACGAGCCGCCTTCTAAAAAAAACCCAAGTTCAGGTCCCAACATGATGTCATACATCAGGACTATACCCATATTTTGATATATTATTGAAAGTCGGGCATGTCCAAAAATTCTGAAACTTGGGGGTCTTATAGTACCCTATGGGTGTACCCCAATGCCCAAGTTTGAAGGAAATCGGCGGTTCCGTTTTTGAGCTACACCCCCCCCAAGTTGCGTAATTGGGGCTGGGAGGGCAGCACACATCTTCTCCACTTGTTCTCCTATCGTCTTGCAAAGATCACCAATGGATCCACAGACCTTGAAAACCCCAGGGACCACTCCCTCCTGATTTTTTCCTGGCCCTCCCTGAATTAATGTGGCAGCGCCAAGTTGAGGGGGGGTACGAGGAGCACATGGTCCTAGCGCTGGGCTGAAGCACAGGAAAATTATGGGACCTGTCCCATCGTTTTCAGCGGCCCAAATAACCCCAGGATACACCCCCACACCACCTCTTTACCAGCCCAAACTCTATAGTAACAGTGAATGGGATCTGCCCACAGGGATCATGCACACTGGGTG